TCGTCCTGAACATTGACTGAGGGCAATTTGTCTTGAAAAATTGTGAAATACCGCATTCTGTACGAGATCTGTATGATAAATTGTACGTACTGTTTCACCTCAGATGTGATGTATAAAAAGTATAAAAGGTTGGTTTACACACCCCCAGATTTGTTGGCAAGAATTCGTAAAGTAAACCTGTCGAACGCAAAAAAATTCGGCCTGATTTGTTTTCCAAGAATTTGTTTTCGAGGCCTTATCTACAGCTCTGATCAACAGCCATTATGGCTCTTGAATGTGATCGAAGATGTTTGCTATTTTTTTGGTGTACATATAAGGCTATCAACTCGGTTTAAGATGTTTCACTCTAAAATAACTTTCCCTCAAACGTCACTTGAATGTGCCCTTAAGTTAACTGATTTGTGGATTACAAGTTTATTGTTTGATTTAAATTATACATTTATTAATGGGAGCTTCGCTTTTAGCCCTGGCTAAATCTATATATTATACAAGTATTTGGCACAGGATGGGAACACAGTATGCTGTTGCATATCTTTGATAGGCTTTAAAGAAATGGTAGGTGTATAAATAGGGTTTCTTAGTATCATATTAAGAAAGTTACAATTCCACGTTGAATTGCGTGAATTATTTTGAGTTCTAAAAAGCTATGACGTTTCAATGGGCTTTCGACAGCGAAAACTTACGAAGAGTATAGATATTGCAAGACGCCGAAATGTCACTTGTTAGCAAACGGTTCCCAACAAAATGCACATAACAAGGCATATAGCTGTTTGAAAACAAATTGCCTCGGCAAATGGAAAGAGTTCCATGCGGAAAAACGCATAAGTATCTTGTTAACAGAGAGTATCGTTGTTTTTGCCCTTCGAATGTCGTGACAAAATGGCGTGTTTTGACCTCAAGGGTTGCTTTTGTTTGGCGTTCAAAAGTTTTCCCTGCAGGATTGCCCAAAAATTTTATTGCATTTATTTGAGGAAGACACCTTGCTCTTTCTATCGGTAGGTAAGTTATGGCTTGCCAATTTTATGTCTGTGAAAAATCGGTAAAATAAGTAAAATTATTAAAAATCCGAAAAATATTAGATTTGCTGTCGAATAGGAAAATTTCACAACGAAACTATTGGTTAGGTTGTGTTCTTTCTATTAAGATTTTCAGAGGCAGAGTTTTTTACTTCTTTAATTTTTAAACGATTTTTAAGTAATATATGGTTTTGAGCCCGTGAAAACTGATCTGAGAGCCTCCGAACCGACTCGGTCGCCGTACGCGTAAAATAAAAATCCAATCGAACTAAAAGTTATTTTTCTAGAAATAGTTTACCTAGACCTATATTCTTCCAAAGTTTGGGGATTTTCGATGTTTTCATTTTGCACACCCCCAGGCGATATTTAC